AAAATCAAACTTCCATATTGTTATTGTGATAAAACTAAGGGTTTAATATTTTTTACTTTATAAGAGATAAATTTAGGCTTTTTCACCCTTTTGCCCCTTATTAATTAATTAATAATCATTTTGCCCCTGATTCGAAACTATCTACCAATCTGCCCCTCTTTAATCGACTACCTTGCATTTTTAATCGACTAAACGGTTGTTGGGAGATTTAATCGACTAAATCTCTCTACTTAATCAATTAAAATCATACTGACTTATTTTTTTTTTTGTAAAATATGAAGATTTAGTCGACTAAATAAATCTCTCAGCAGCCATTTTTTGTCTGTTTTGGCCATTTAATCGATTAAAAATGCAAGGTAGTCGACTAAAGAGGGGTAGATTGATAAATAGTTTCGAATCAGGGGCAAAATAGTTATTAATTAATTAATAAGGGGTAAAAGGGTGAAAAAGCCGATAAATTTACTACTACATATACATAAAAATATTTTTTTTTTAGTAAAATACATAAAAATATTTAGTATCCATGTTTTTCCTTTTTTCTTTTTCTCTTCACAAGATCTACATGAATTCTACACATTTTTTTGGCTCTGTCTCCCATCGTGCACAATAATCTACCGCGACATGTAGTCGTCCTTTTCATATATATCGTCAACTCTTAGATCAACCATCTTGACTTAACCAATTTATATTCTTATTTTTATTTTAAATTTTTTAAAGAGGTTTTAAGGGTTTTAGATAAGATATGTAAAAAATATTTAACTTTTAAACTTCTAACTTTAAGCAATAATACATGAAAATAATTATTTAAAAGAAAATTTTCTTAAAAACAAAACATTATGTATAAATAGTGAATGTTGTGTTTAATTTCGAAATTACAATTTTTGCTATCCTTCAGTTGTGATATCAACATTCCAAATTTGGACCCGTCGACAAAATTGAAAACGCCTAGACCAGAAATTAAAAAATACATGTCGCTTATGCTTTCAAGTATACATTATGATTATTATTTTTTCAATCAAATTCCGTATAATTAATTAGGTAACCCAATTTAAAATTAATTGAATATTTTTTTAATCAGCTTGGCAAAAAAATTTAAAAATAAAATACTTTTATTTTAGTAATTTTTTTAATTAACTGTGGAACTTGCAAATTGACCATTTCTTCAGGTTCATCTCGATCTAAATTTTACCATACAATAAAAAGAATTTTTTTTGGCATTGATAACATGGCAAACCATGCCAAAAAAAAAAAAATTACTCTAACCAATCCTCTTATATTTATATATATCCGAAGTCCGAACACCTTATAGTTATAAGTACTGAAATTTACACGTATTAATTATATTTGGGTCTAGTTGTCATCCTTATTATATTATCTAAGTAAAATTACGTTGAGATGTAACTACCAGTAATATAATCATTAAATTAATAATTACAAATAAAATATTATTATTAAAGCTAATTTATAAAAATAAATTATAAAATAACTTGTGCATAGGACTACGAACATAACTAATTTTCAAAAAGGTTGTGCTAATAATCACTAAAAATATAATTTTTATTTAAATTGAATTCGAAATGAATAATGTTATAAAACATTAGAAAGTTAGCCCTTCTGCATGCATAAGAGAGAAAAAAAAAACAATATATATATATATATATATATATATATATATATATATATATATATATATATATATATATATATATAGGATAAGGGAACTCATGGCACCTAAGGATGTATTGCACCTAAGGATTGGTGTAGTCACATAAAATTATGTCATTTTATAGTGTGAAAGTGAAAGTATTAAATATCAGAATACACATTTACCAAAAAAAAAATATGAGAATACACTTATTAAAAATATTTATGCTTTTGTTACAGAAATTTTTCTGTCACACTCATATAAAAGTGAATAGATCCCATTATAATGAAGAGAGAGAAAAAAAGTTAATAGAATATAATGGGATCCACTTATTTTTTTGTGAATGTAGCAACAACAAAAAAATCTTGAGCAAAAGCAGAAATATTAAACCACGTATATATATATATATATATATATATATATATATATGTATATATATATATATATATATATATATATATCAAAAAAAAAATTCTGTAGTTACTGCAGATAAGTTATCTGCATTTATTCCCAAAACGACGTCGTTTTGGTATTGAAAGATTAAAAAATTATAATTATAAAGACTATAATAACCGTAAAATTACAAAAACACCATGATTTCCGCCCCAAAACGACGTCGTATTGGGCTTACTGCAGATAACTTATCTGCAGTGACTGCAGAAAAAGCGAACCCTATATATATATATGGTAAAATCATTTCTGCAGCCGCTTTACGTACAACAACGACAGGTGTATGGTTATGATTTCCCTCATTTAATGCTTTCATCTTTTGTATAGTTATAATTCCCTGCATTTAATGCTTTCATGTATATATATAGCAAGTATTTGATTGTTGCACGTACAACAGCTGTAGAAATGTAAACCTATATATATATGAGGTATGATCCTTTAATACCGGTGTCAAATTTTAATTTTGACACCCCATCTCAGAGCCGTTAGATCAAAAAAGATTAATGGAGTCACATGCTTGCAAATCAGAGTCATTGATTTTTTTTTATCTAACGGTTCTGAGATGAGATGTCAAAATTGAAATTTGACACCGGTGTCAAAGGAGCCTACCTCCATATATATATATATATATATATATATATATATATATATATATATATATATATAAGAAAAAATATTTCTCCAGCCACTTGAGATAAGCTTATCTCAAGCTATGCCTTTTAACTTGTCTACTGACGTAAAGAGAGAAAAAAATAACTTTAACATTATAACTATGTACTAGGCGTAATACATAGTTAAAAAGGATAACTTGAAATATGTTTATCTCAAGTGGCTGGAAAATATTAATCTCACATATATATATAGGGAAATTATTCTCTCATGTAATAGGAGAGAATTATCCTATGTTGTAGATACACCGACAAACGTGCCTTTTATTTATTTATTATTTATTTTTTAACACACGGTGGGACCCACCATGTGATGGGTCTATGACATGAGAGGAGTATCTCTTATAACATGAGATTAGATGCTCCTATATATATATATATATATATATTTTTTTTCTTTTTAAAATAAAAAAATTTAAGACACACAATTTAATAAGTTTATGGCATGAGATTATATTTTTGTCGTGAGAGCAGAAGAAGTATAAATCTATATGTGTATATATATATATATATATATATATATATATATATATATATATATATATATATATATATATATATAGGGTTTAGTGAATGTACAGTGACTGGATACAAAATTTGGTCCAGTGTACTAAGTTCTCCCGCGAGAACACAGTTATAGTAAATATTATAAAACTATGTTCTCTTGGAAGAACATCGAGAGAACACTATTATAATATTTAGTGCACTAAGTTCTCGCGGGAGAACTTACTGCACTGGACGGTCCAGTGACTGAATTTTCATTTTTTTCATATATATATATATATATATATGGATCAGGATTATTTTACACCTGTATAAGACTAATAAATCTTACACTACATCTCAACCGTTGATTTCTGTGCATTCCACGGTTATAATTTAGAAAATCATACAAATTAATTAATATTATTTAATCATTAATTACACTACAAATACCAACCGATGATTTTCGTCCATCAACGATTGATATGTGGTGTAAGACTTGTTAGTCTTATACTTGTATAAAAAGAACCTACCTATATATATGAGTTTTATAAGAGTTATGTTGTAGGAAAAATGATTGTGTAATGTTATAGAGATTCGTTTTGCGTACCTTAGTTTTTTTTTTGCTTCAAAAAGTGCGAGCCCCACAAAATGTTGTGTGTGTAAGAAACTTTTTTGTGTCATGTGACATGATAGATGCAAACCCCTATATATATATATATGGGGTTTGATTTTCTCATGTTGCATGAGAATTGAATTCTTATGTTGTGACCCTTATATCAAAAAAAATTTGCAGAACCAGTGTCAAATTTGAAATTTGACACTTCAACTAAGAATCATTAGATCAAAAAATATCAACGACTCTGATTTGTAAGCATGTGACACCAATGATCTTTTTTTATCTAACGGCTCTCAGATGAGGTGTCAAAGGATCTTACCTCTATATATATATGGGTTTCGATTTTCTCATGCGGTAGTAAAAAAATTTCTCATGTTGTAGACACATCTTATGTGGGGCCCACATTTATTAAAAAAATAAAAAGCAAAAAAATATTGCACGAAGATCGAAGGGTCACTAGTAGGGTAAAACAGCTCTCCTACAACATGAGAAAATGTTTTCCCTATATATATATATATATATAGGGGAAAACATTTCTCAAGCTGCTTGAGACAATGTTATCTCCGGCTAATTAAAACTATGTCGTTTTGTTTATTTATTTCCTTATATTAATTGATTCACCTTTAAATGGTTATGATTCTTCTTTTCTCTCTCTTCCTTCATTACCATTAATCCATCTTTGTACGGTTATGATTTAGTAGCCGGAGATAAAATTATCTCTGGCAGCTTGAGAAATAGTAACCCCATATATATATATATATATATATATATATATATATACGGAAAGACATTTCTCCGGCAACTTGAGATAAGTTTATCTCCGGCCTCCTTAGAACTACATCGTTTTGTTTATTTATTTCCTTATATTATTTGATTCACCTTTGAATGATTATGATTCCCTTTTTCTCTCTCTTCCTTCATTACCATTGATCCATCTTTGTACGGTTATGATTTATTAGCCGGAGATAAAATTATCTCTGACAACTTGAGAAATGATAAGCCTATATATATATATATATATATATATATATATATATATATATATATATATATATATATATATATGAATAATTAATTAGACATGACCAAAGACAAAGTCTTGAGGGTACTCTGTTTCAACAAACAGTTGCAACAACAAAACAGGGCCAAGTCCGTGACGCAGTCACAAAAGCCAAGAACCCACTTTCTCTCCCTCTTCTCTATTGTCTCTTTAATCTTCATATCGGTGATTGTTGGCCATTATAAATACCCTACTTCCCCGTGCCTCTTTTTCAAGCTCACATCCTAAACCTTATTTCCTTTACCTCTATAATACCTACACCTCTCTCTTCCCCCCGTAAAAGCACAAAATATTTAGGTGAAAAAAAAAAGACAGAGCAAAATGAGAAGCATTTCAACCTCAAAGCTAAACACACCCATCACAACCACAAGTACACCATCATCTATTCACTCCGCATGGCACTCTCCAATACCCTACTTGTTTGGAGGACTTGCTGCCATCATGTGTCTCATAACCTTTGCGTTATTGATGTTGGCTTGCTCCTATTGGAGACTCTATGGGAACCAACATGGTGACCAAAGAGACTTGGAGAATAAAGAGGGTGACCCTGAAAATAAGGAACCAATCAAGGTCCATGAGGAGAAGATCCTGGTCATTATGGCAGGGGATGAAAACCCAACATTCTTGGCCACCCCTACGTGTTCCAAGTCCTCGTCTTTTGTTCATGATGTTGGCAACAATTTTGACCAACACCTCGGTAACCGTGACAAACACCTTGTTCTTGTTCCAGCTGCTGATACCACTACTCAACAAGAAAACAACCGAGATTCCCAACAAGAACAACATAGCCGCCAATGAGAGATTATATAAGTTGGTTACGTAATTACTGATTTTGAAATTTTCTTTCACTTGGTAAGGTTCTTTTGCTTGTGGTCTTGCTAGCTTTGAGAAAGAGGGGAGTGATGGAATGAGATTCCTTTTTTTTTTTTTTTTTCATCATTCACTCTTTCTTCTTTTTGGTTTAGAGAATGTAAATTCAAGGCGAGGGGAATTCCAATTGAGGGAGTTTCCTTTCAATCTAAGGACAACCAAATTTCGCATGATATGTGTCACTTTTTCTCGAATTTTTCACATTCCTACATTGAGTTTGAGAAGCAATTTCCTAACTGGGATTTGGCATTCATTCAAGTAGTGATCGTGTATGCTTTATGTGTTCTACCAACCCAATACACACAATTCGCTGCAGCTCCTTAAATCATTAATTTTTTATCTTGCTTTTGTCTTAATAATAATAAAAAATTACTCTAGAATTATTGATCATTTGCAAAACCAATGTTTTATATTTCAAATTACTTCCAAAATTCTTGCAGCTGCGGACATCATTTTTTTGTCTTTGATTAAATTTAATGGTAAACGTAGTTGAAAAGTATGAATTGTTAGATCAAGAACTATATCTCTTAAGTTTTTCTACAGAGGATCCGTGTTCAGCGTTGGAAGAAAATTTTTTATGTACTTTAAAATTAATATATTTTTTGTGTGTTAAAAATTTGATATGTAGATAGTATATTCAGACATTATGAGAGATTAAACTTCATCTCAACCGTTGATTAAGATCAATGATGTCACATGTTTACAAATCAGAGTCGTTAGATCTTTTTTTATCTAACGGCTCTCAGATGAGGTGTCAAAGGATCCTACCTCTATATATATATATATATATATGAATACTTTTTCTTGTTGCTGGAAAAAGTAATCTCTTGTTGTCCATACCTCAAAAAATGTGTCACTCGCTCTTTCTTTTTAAAGGTGGGCCCCACATGTTTATGCGTCTGCTAAATATATATATATGAAAAAAATATTTCTCATATTACAGAAAATAAAATTATCCATTGTAACATCAAAATAATATCGTTTAAGAATTGCAGGAGATAATGTTATCTCCTATGATATGAGAAACATTAATATATATATAGGAATCATTTTTTATGCTGTCAATGTAGATAAGTTATCTACATTAAGCTCAAAACAACGTCGTTTTCGGACAGAAATTAAGGTATTTTTGTAAAATTGATTTATTTCAGGGTTATAATAGTCTTTTTCATTATAATTTTTTAATTTTTCAACCAAAACGACGTTATTTTGTGAATGAATATAGATAACTTATCTACATATACTGTAAAAACATTAAAGCCATACGCATATATATATATATGCACACAACCTATAGCCCTAGTTTTCATATTTAAAATGATAATTGAAAAAAATATTTATCCTTAATTCACAAATTTCGAATATTGAAAAATGTCCATTATTTCGTTTATACATTCATAAAAGGAAAGGGTTATATTTACAAATTTTTAATTTACAAACTATACTATGTATTTTCGGAAGAACACTAGGTTACATTATATTCTCCCGGAAATACATAGTGTAATTTACAAAAATTTATAAAAAAAAATTGTAAATGGATCTTTTCCTTTCATAAAATATAGTTACAAAATGCAAGAAGCAAGCGGTGAAGATGAGTATTTGGAGAAGCATAGAAGTAAAGAACAATGGAGGAAGGGGAGAAAACAAACACTAGGGAGATGTATGCATAGTGCGCGTGCTCAGCTTCACGGAAATATTTTTTTTGTGAATCCGGACTACCACTGATCGAGCGAGACAATCCAAACAAGAATGTGATGTGTTTCTTGAAAAGAAGTACGTTTTTACTGGATCGGGAACACATGGCCTCCCATTCAATTGATAACACTTTATCAAAAAATTTGTTTTCTCTTATTTCTGTACAAACTTTTTAGGAAATGCAAAATTTTTATTAAGGTGGTCCACTGAATTTTTTGTGCACGGAATGCATATTTAAATATTTCACTTGAAAAAAGAAAAAAGAAGATTCATTTTTCATATTACACTCACATAAAAAGATGTGCCTTTTTTTTTTCTTTTTTTTTAAAAAATTAGTGGACCTCATTTTATTTATCTCACAACATAAACTTCTCTTATATTTACATGAGAGAAGTAAAGCCCAAAAAAAAATTAGAACAAATATCATCCATTTAGTAGAAGGACCATATGATACTAAAAAGGGAGTTATTAATCTCATGTCACATAAGATAGGTATAAGATAGGTATCTTATGTTGGGGAAACAAAGTTGTGGGGGTCCACAATTTAAAAAAACAAAACAAAAATGAAAAGAAAAAATAGACACAAAATTTTATGAGTGTACACCATAAAACAACTATCTTACGAGACATAATAAAAATATTTTCCTACTTATCATTCTTTTCTTTTTTTTGGTAAGCAAAAATGTTATCATGCTTTACTCAGTCTTGTGTTATCCCGTGGCATGTCTTTTATTTTTATTTTTAAACTATTTTACGCATCTGACGTGACTAAAAAATAAAGGCATGTCAAATCATTTGCTTATAAGTTGATTCGGTAAATAATACTTAAATAATGATTACCCACAAACTGTAAAAATGTTAATATTTTGGAAAATTTCTTCTGTAAGTCGAGTCTTCTATTGAATTATATTTCTTCTATACATTTTTTATAATTGATGTCACGTTTTTTATTGACTAATTTGTTTAAACTTTTCTTGAAAAATATATTTTCTAGTATAATTGTTTAGGATAATTTTTAAAAAATGCATTTTCAATTTTTAAAAATTTATCTATTTATTATATTTTTGTTAGACATGATTTTTAATTAGAAAACATGTTTTTCTACTAAAAAAAATTAAGTAAACAAGTCTTAAAACTTCCGATCATTTGCAATTCGTTATATCTCACTTTACACTTTCTTTGCGAATATATCTGTAAAGGTTAAACACGAGCTCGTCATAAAACTGACCTTCATCATGTGATCAGGGATTTATTTGGAATTTGAGATTCATTATGAATCTAAGTTAAACTAATATTCGAACGGACATTAATCTCATGCTAAAGAATATGACGATATAACAATCATTTCATGTTAAATTTATTTAATAATGAGTAAAATGATATTATTATGTTATTTTATTTGTTAGTATCAATATAATTTTATAAAATATAATAATATGTAATTATTTTGAAACGAGAAAACATCGTTTCTCTTTAAATTTTTATGTACAGGAGAAAAAAACGGGTCAGCTTATCTTTTTACATCTCTTAGTTGTCACCAAATCTTTTAACTTTTTATATTAAAAGGACAATCAATATTCGCATAAAATGTGTCTTTCAGAAAATTTTATGCATAAAATTTTGAAATTTAGGGATGGCAAAGTAGGCAATTCATTCCATTCCATCTTGTTCCACCCTGCCTTCAGTCCATCCCATTTATGAAAATAGGTTAAAATTTCAACTCATATCTTTTATGGCAAGTTAACCCAAAAGTAAAGGTGGGGTTATTTTCGTAAAATAACCTCACATTCCCATTAATATTTCACAATCAATTAAACACATACTCAGTAAAATAAATCACAAAATTTCAGAAAAATTTGATCATACCAAACAATTTTTTAGTAACATCACAGCAAAATATATTTTCTATTATATTATAGTAATCTATTGTTTTCAAATAAATAAAAATTTCTCTTTTACCAAACATCTCCTAAATGCTTAGATAGGTAAATTATTAATTAATGCTAATAGAGAAGAGAGGAGGAGACAAAACATGTGGGATATAGATACATTTGGAAGGAAGAGAGTATCTAAAAGTCCAAGGTAAGTAAGTATCTAGAAGATTGAAAATCATACGTTCATAAGAATTTATTCACACCAAGTGTAACATGAAAATATCTCTCAAAAGGAAGTGTGATCATGCATCTATATGGTGAGAATCATAGGCGAACGCAGGTTGTGGAGAAGGGGGTAAGTGCCCACCCTTAAATTTGAACCAGAAGAACCGATAGAGGTAAGCCATGAGTTTTTGGTGCCCACCCTTAAAATAGGAGGCAGACGCAGCTCATAATGATAGAGGTAAGCCTCTACTGTTTGAAGAACCGACAGAGAAAGAAGATGAAAAGGAAGAAAAGTAGGAAAAGGGAACAGAGAGATGAGAAAAAAAATGCTTTTCTTTATTAAAGTTGATCAACGTACAGTATATGTCAACCTCTCCCTTTTTATTATAATTATTCTCTAACTACTCTCTACTAACTCTTACTGTTGTCTCCTTTTTACATGTCACCCTTGACCCATGTGTTCTCTCCTAATTTCTACACCCCATCTCTAAATCTTATCGGTCTCTTCTTTTCACGTATCCATTTTCTTTCTGCAATACTTTGTTCTCTTATTCGGTTTACATCTTCAATTTCCTCTTCCTCTGTTTCTTGGTTTGTTGCTATTGTATCACAGAATCACTATGAACCATCACAACTTGCTCTGTTGTTGAGTGTCCAGTGCCCACCCTTCATCAATTTTCTGGATCCGCCACGGGTGAGAATTATGTTGTTAAACATAGTTTAAAGTTTATTACCGAGGTTAGTTTTAGCAACTGTTACACTGATAGCTTAAGCTCACTATATACATTCAATCCCGATGTACAAAATTCATTGTGTCACTAATGGAAGTGAATCATCTTATATATATTATTTAATATGATCATATAATATAAGAAAATTGTAATCATGAACAAATTAATGGTGAGTATTTTGTGACTTTCTATCTCAATGTTTTTTTTTTTATCTCTCATAGCTTATTATAATTTCAGGATTCTTCCACGTAATATTATTATGTTAAATAACACATAAGTAAATTCATCTCTATCAATAATATTAAATTATGTGTTCCAATCTCTCTTCACAACTCATAAGATTCTTGTCACTCATCCTTTCCAATATTAAGTTTAAAATACGCGTTAATAGTTATTTATGTTACAAGACACAAATTTCTTCTACTAACACAATCAATTAGTGGGACCCACTAAAAATATGTGGGCACTCAACAAATATGTGGGACCACATGTTAATTGTATGAGCTAAGAGAAACTTTTTTTCTCATGAGATTATTAACCTTTAACATATTGAGAATAAACCACTCATATCATAAGCTAATGTTTAAATACTTTTAATTTTGTCTGATGTCTCCTTTAAACCTATAATTTTACACCTTGTGAAAAACACACCATTTCACACTTCAATTAAA